CATGAGGGTGTTGGCAGCCTCATCAACAGATGGAGGAGGGCCCAATACAGACTCCTCTTCACCTAATGAAGCAAAAACATGGACAAAGTCATTACCACTTCTCAGCTACCCACAGAAATTAGCAGCACAATCCTTCAGACAACAGTTCTTTCTTGGAAAGATCTTGCCATAACCATGCATGCTTGTCTTCAGTATTTATGATTACAGTGGAGGGGGTGGGGGGGGGGGGGGGGGGAGTAGAAAGGTATTCTCAGTGTCATTTTAGCTTGAGGAATCCCTTTACCATTAATAAAACAAAAGTTCTAAATTAAGAAGTTTAAAATATGAAAGTGTGCTTTGTAACAGTAAGGCCTGGTTCACACGTTTTAGGAACGCACTATAGTCCATTTAACATGGTTTCCTATGGGAAACATTCTCATGTAAGGTGTTTTTCAGCCATTATGTTTCTGGAAAGGGTCAGGGACTTTTTTTTAAAACCTAAAACGGTGCGTTTTTGGTTCAACAAACTTCAATGGAGACATTGCAGAAAATGCATGTAGTGGGTTTTTTGAAGAGTTTTTCATGCAATTTGTTTTTTTCATCTGCCCAACAACAAATTGGCAAAAAAAAGCACTGCAGAATCGGATCGAACACAAACTGCATAGGTGTGAACCAGGCCTAAGAGTAACAATGAAAGTAAGAAAGGCATGCACAGGCACACCCAAGAGCTCAGGGATTACTGTTGCACTATATACATGTATTGTGGTGTTCCCCTGGTAATCTCTTTCTGCAGACAATTCAAAAACTTGGGAGCAAACCTGTGCTTTGCCAACGATGGACAAAACAACAAGTGCATTTGAATGCAGATATCCTTACCTACCCTTTAGTCTCACTGCTCCGTTTAGCTGCAAGTAGCGAAAGCAAAACCCTGTATAAGCTACAAAAATCACCAAAATTGGAGCTTACACAGGGTTATGGACTCCATATGTGGAAGTACTGGGTATGGTCCAGCTCCTGGCATTAAACCAAGCAGCAGGGGTGTGAATAAAAGAGAAGTGTAAGCTGTCAGGCATAGGTAAAAAAAAAGGTTAGATCAATCAAACTTCAACAAAAAAAAAAAAAAAAGCGGATTGGTTTCTCTTACATTTTAGTAAAACAACCACAATGGGTCAAAACAAGATATTGATGTCAACACACTGGAAATAAATATATTGTCAGCTGCTGGATTTTTATCCCTCCAATATCAACAAAGGGCAAGTCCACAAACCATACAATGCATAATGTCTCATTTTGTATTTATAAAATACGCACATACATTTCATGGAAGTTATTTCATGCTGTTGGGTCTTTAAAAGGCTCTTCAAAGCTTATGTCAGCAGTGCCTGCATGACAGATTGGACAGGTTGACTATTAAAATGCTGATGATCTCATGAGAACAATTTCAGTAGCTAGGAGCAGATCGATAGACAGGACAGTGCTTTACACATGTAAAAGAGTCGCTGGACTGCAGTGGCTATTGGTCTGTACAGCAGATGCGGCCTGATCTGACACTTGTGCTGAGCTGGATGTCACGCTATGCTAGATGACTCAATTCTGCAGCAGTTGCAGGTTGAATGTGTGAAGGATACAGGATTCAAATGTAACACCAGGAGGTCTGGAACTGCCATCATATAGTTTTTCCCTTTCAATAATGGACGTATATGCTCACAAACCCATTGCTGGACTATCAGAACAGTGACCTCCCAGAAGTGTCACAAAGCTTACATGAATGGAGTTCCCTGCAATCCACATGGGCACAGCAACAGCACAGCTGAAAAAACAGTCAGAGCTTTTATTTCTTTTGATAATAATAAAGGTTTTCTTGCATATCATTATCCACCTGTTTTAAAGAAATCCACTGCTGGGTGTTGTCAGTCTAGCATTAGCTACCTCATGCAGGCCATCACCCAGAATGCTTCAGGGCTCACCGCTGGTTGGTTGCTATAGAAACTCTGCATATTTTATGCTGATTCACTTTGCAAGCTGTCAGTGAGCAGCCTGCTGAGAAAGAGGAAGGGGGGCAAGTGAATGAGAAAGAAGGGGTTGGTTATGTGTCCGTTCCAACAATACTTCCTATCAAGGTGGGTGTAGGAGAGGTGACTGCTGGCAAATCATTCGATGAAGAAACAAAAGGATATTTTTATTTCAGCCACAGGAAATCACTTTAACCATTTTTTTTAAACTAGGAGATTTATAAAGTTTATAGTCAGTTAAAGGGAATCAAAAGACTTTATGAATCCGTGTAGATCGTTATCTGCAAACCCTGACCAGGAGCCCTGTGATGAGGGTTAGGCTGCCCATAGCTGGACCAAGACTCAGCCAGTTCATCAAGGACTGTTCGAATTTTCGATCCAACTACAGCCATTCTCAATTGACTTCTGTTGAAGGCGACTGTTGGAAAACTTTTGTCCATCAACCGGCTGCAGCTGCTGATCAGTGTATTCTGACAGTGGAGGAGTCCCGCTGTCTGAATACAATTGCACAGCGGGGAAGACTTCTTCATCCACCTCCATTGTGTGGATAGAGGAATTGGTTTGTTTTTTTCAGCTGATTGAAAAAAGCAAGGCATCTACAGCCAGCCTTCGATCAGTTCAATCTGCATACTATAGAAAAACACATACTTTTGGACACATCTAGTAAATAGAATTTGGATAGTTGTAGATGAACATTTGAGGAGCATCATCAGCACCATCTCACAAAATAGTTAGCTTCTGTCAAAATAATACATGTCAGATGAATGATGCTTTTGATTAGACAGCTAAGCAAGAGGGTTTTCCAAGGTTTGAAGATATGCATTAACTTCAGTGCATTTATTGTATTATTCATCAGAAAACTTGTACACTTCATTTTTGTTGGTCATTGATTCTGTTTATGACTGTTTCTCTGATGCTGTCTATTCTACAATAAAATCCATTGTAAAAGAAGATATGCATTGACATTTTGTATAGTTGTGATCAGGATCACACAAATAGTCATTCATTTTCTAAGACTAGGTTCACTTTTCACACTCTAGCGGTCACCAGACATGTACAGCAGGCACCATGAATGGTCACATACCTGGTAGAATGCTCTGGGAGGCACAAGACCAGAGTACCTTCATATGCAAATTTCAACAAGGTCAGCAACTGTAAGGTCAACTATCAGTCATGGGCTAACATCAAGGTGCCTGGCCCAAGCTCTTCATCATCCAGAGCTGGTAAAGATTTCTATAAGAAACCATTCTGCTGCTTCCGAGACATTTAAGTGTCACTATACAAGTACAGAATCCAACATGAATGATCACATGGAGGTACATAAAGTACAGAATGCACCTTTATGTACCTCCATGTGATCATTCATGTTATTTAGTTTCCAGCCATAAATGTTTGGTGTCATTTTAGTGTTTTAAAGTGAGCAAATGTAACGCTCCTACAATGATCTGAGATTTTGCAGCCAAAAGGATATATGGTCAACTTTTTTTCAATTGATCGACTACAAAGTTCGCAAGCCCAGTGAAGAAATCTGTCACTTTTACTTTTCACTGGCAGAAGTAGAAAGGAGGCTGCATTTACGGGGGGGGGAGTCACTGGCTTCCGACACGACACGTATACTAAGAACAGATAATGAAAGCAATATTGTGAAATGATTTTGCTCATGCCCAGCAAAGATCAATAATGCACCATCTGGTTTACATTAAGGGGTTAAAGTGCAACCACTGACAGTTGTCACTTCCTGCACCTTCATATTTGACCCTGAAACCCATGTGCTACCAACAAAGCTATTCACTTACCCAACAGGTATGCATCAGCGTCCAGTTTCTGAGATGAGCTCAGGGTTGGGGATCCAAGTTCAGACTCTGGAATTCTGGGGCTCTCCACAAACTTTGCTTTCCTCAGTGGGGCTAAGAGGTGTAGTTTAGAGGTGAAAAGGAGAGGGCCAGGAGGAGGGTTAGCAGGAGACAATAATAAAAGTAGGAGGAGAAAGTGATGAAGAAGACAAGATAAAGAGGGAATAAGATGTTAAAAAAGGAAAGAAAGAGAGAAAAAAAGGCCGTAAGCACACTGAGCAGATGGAAACCGTTAACAGCATGCAAACACACTGTCCAACATAGATCATGTTACCCCTAATTTTTCCCCTCTCCTCTTTTGTGTACTGGAAAAAACAGCCATGTGTCAGCTCTGCATTCTTTTCTGGGGATATGTGCAGAATGCAACCCCCCTTCTTCCCCAACAATGACATTGGTGAAGTATCGGCAAGGATTCATTGTATACAAGCATCAAGAGAAACTGCTAATTAGAACTTTTTAAATAAAATAAAGGCACATGACTGATATGTCACTTTATCCCCCTGGAGAGTGTACAAGATCTGAACATATTTACTTGATCATAGCAAATTAACAGTTTGGAGACATTTGACGGTCTATTAGTACGCATACATAACTGTTTCTACAAGAGATGAAAAATGTGCGAACATTGACTACAGTAAGATCCTGAAACAATGAAGCCCTATAATAGCAGTATAATTATTTGAAGAGCTAAAGAATGGGAAAATTTGTTAGCAGCTAAAGTTACTGGTAGAAGAGGCAAGAGCTGAAATGGCTTTCAGTTCCACCATAATACTAGAATCTGTCCAATTGAGTGGCCATCAGTACTAGTAACAACCGCCATGCCATTATTAAAACATGTAAAATCCTACTCATTAGTTAGCTCTATACAACCAGTAAGATTCCAGCTGTCATTTTTCTAGCGCAGGGTAGAGAATGAAAGCAAATATCTGATTGGTTATGTTAGTCCTGGCCAATAATGCCACTTTCCTTAGAAACTGCCCACTATACATCTACATAAAATGTGACAACAGTTACAAACTATTTATATTCCAAAAGATCTCTTGAGCCTTCTAGGATTTATGTCATGCAAGTTAATTCTGACACATTAGACAGCTATCTACCGTATTTTTCGCTACATAAGATGCACTGTTTCCCCCCCCCCAAAAAAGGGGGGAAAATGTCAGTGCGTCTTATGGAGCGAATATGGAGCGGCCGGTCCGGTATTTCCACCGCGGCCGTGTCAGAATACCGGGCCGGCCGCTCAGCTCTGCAGTGGGACATTATGGAGATGACTGCTGACCTTTGGGGAGGTGGGGAGCGGGTACCTAAATTTGACAGGTATCCGCTCTTACTTCTTTGTTCTTTGATCTCACCTGTTCCTCTATCCAGCGGCACGCTGTCTTCGGCTTCTGTAGTGTGGGCACTGGGCATGACAGCCGGGTGCCAAGTGCGCATGCGCAAGAAGCGGTGCTTTTTGTGAATGGTAAGGCGGTACTTGGGACACATGACAGATCCCAGAAGCCGCCGGACCAATCACACAGCGCAAGTGCTTCTCACTCATGCGCACTGGGCACCCGGCTGTCATGCCGAGCGCCATTACAGAAGCCGGGAAGACAGCGCGCGGCTGGATCGAGGAACAGGTAAGATCAAAAAAAAACTCTGCGGAAGTAAGAGCGGGTAGCTGTCAAATTCAGGTACCCGCTCCCCACCTCCCTAAAGGTCAGCAGTCATCTGTACTGTCCGCAGTCTCTGGTCATCCCTGTGCTGTCCGCAGTCTCTGGTCATCCTGTGCTGGTCATCTCCTGTACTGTCTGCAGTCCATTAGTTCAGAAATTTTTTTTTTCCTGTTTTCTGCCTCTAAAACCTAGGTGCGTCTTATGGTCAGGTGCGTCTTATGGGGCGAAAAATACGGTATTTCCCAATCATCTGTTAACTGCGGCAAAAGTTTATTGAAACAAAGTCTTTCAGATTACTTACAATACTATAGTGATCTCACTATAATATAAAAGTAAGAAATTCACATTTTATTAAACTATGACCTGTGTCCTGACAATCTGTGGGCCGCCACTACAATTTATCAGAATATACAACATAGTGCAAACAATCTGCAAGCTAACATTGTAGGACTTGCAACAGCCTTTCTGAAAACCTCAGAGAGATTAGGATATTTAGTCAATGAGTGTCATAAAATAAGCTAGTTTTAGGTTTTATTTATTTTGTATATATCATTTACTTTGGAATTTCTATCCCTTCATTAATCAGGAGATAAGAAATACTGCACATTTTCCCCATTGTTATGTATTTCTGCACATAAACAAAAGAAATAAAAACACTAGATTGTGCGCTGGTCACTATAGTGCCATAATGGACAGGAAACATCAGTTCTCTATCTCTTCACTTTTTTGTCTCCTGGGGTGCTGCAGTTCTCTACTGTCTTCACTGAGGGGGTGAGAAAGGACCTAAAACATAGAGAGAGAGAGAGAGAGAGAGAGAGAGAGAGAGAGAGAGAGAGCGCGTACGATCACCCTAGTGTAATACCGTTTTATTGTAATAAAGGTTAAAAACTTTTTCGATTGCACTCACATTTTCACATAGCTACCAAGCATGCCTGCATGTTAAGTGATCCACTGCATGGTCCCTGTAGGATCTGAAGCCTCTGGGTCAGGGGTGGGCAACTGTGGCCCTCCAGCTGTTGTAGAACTACAAGTCCCATAAGGCATTGCAAAACTGACAGTTACAAGCATGACTCCCAAAGGCAGAGGCATGATGGGACTTCATCAACAGCTGGAGGGCCACAGTTGCCCACCCCTGCTCTGGGTGATCTACTGCTGACCACAAGCAGGCCGTTGTGGCGACCCGCCCCCCCCCCCCACTGCGCGTGCCGTGCTTCGTAGATGGCTGGTAACTCCAAGGGAGGCGGATCTCAATGTAGGGACACATGTCACGACGATCGGAGGCATGGCCTCCTTTGTCAAGTCACACCCACTCCCTCTCATCGAAGGTTATAGGGAACAATGGCTTGTCCTGGAATTCTGATCTCAAGACATGTCCATTCACTCTGATCAATAAACACTCTGATCAATAAATCTTATTCCATAACTTTAATATAAAATATAAATATTAATAGAAGTGTAGTAAATAAAAGTTTATGTATATATGTACTTTTGCCTAAATTGGGGCAAATGGTGATGAAACCAGCCCTTGGTTTTTATTTATAGGCTCTGTATAGGTGGCGTGGTCCCTTAGGAATGGAATGCCAGGAGGAGCCATTGTTCCCTATAAAACCTTCAATGAGAGGGAGTGGGTGTGACTTGACAAAGAAGGCCACGCCTCCAAAATGCATCATCATCGCAACCGTGACATGGTCGTGATGTGATCCTACAGGGACCATGCAGTGGATCACGTAACATACAGACACGCTTGATACCTAAGTGAAAATGTGAGTGCAATCAAAAATGTTTTAACCTTTATTACAATAAAACGGTATTACACTAGGGTGGTTGTACGCGCTCTCTCTCTTTGTATGTTTTATGTATGGCTGTAACCTGGATATTATTCCCTGTGGCTTGTGTCAGAATGAGTAGGCAATTTATATCAGTGACAATTTATTAAATAGCCAATGGCGAAGTGTTTTAAGTGCATAGCTTGCTGGTGATTTTGCCTCTGAACAAGGGCACCCCCCCAAAACACAAAATTGGTGCTTTTAATTGTTACTTCTCAAAGCTTTGTTTGGGAGCTATAATAAAAACGGAAAAAATAACCCTTCGCTATCTGATGGAGCTGGAGTTTGTTTGGGAGCTGCTGCTAGACCCTGGTGACAAAGCAGCTTGGGGAGGAGAGGAGAGCCACAGGAAGGAGCAATTTGACACACCCAAGAGTGTTGTACTTTTTTTTTTTTTTGTTTCTGGTGTTTATAACGTGTCATTTAATTAAATAAAACAGTATTACATGAACTTAAAATTCTACTATTAGATCTGCTGCAGGGTCTCTTTAAAAACAACTGTCTGCATCTTGAACATATCTACCCACGTAGAGTAGTTTTCATGGATGCAAAACACCTTCTAAGGTCTAACAGCCTGACCTGTGTGGTGATGTGGGCCGAGTAATTTCTGGTTAAGGTAATAGTTTCACATACTGAACAAAGAGGTATTTTCATTCTCATGATCTTCAACATAAAGTATATTAGGAATAAGTGTTCCCAGTGGTAATGAAGTATTTCGTAGTTTATGTGAATGCAGTGGAGGAAGGGTATTATTTCCACCATTAGTAAATGTCCCATTACTTAAGAAGGAAAAGGTAACTTTTTTTTTTTGGACCTATTTTTTGTTAGAATATATTATGTCCATTGCACATGATGTGTTACTGAAGGCAGGACTACAGTCATTGTTTTAATTTTACATATACATATAGAATACACTAGCCTAATGTAAATCTTATCCATGGTAAATGTTAACAGTTTTAGAATCCTGGAGATACATTTGCTCATATGCAGGCTGAGCTTCCTGCTCAGTGGTGCTGTTATGTCTCGCTGATCTTCTTAAAGTGATTGTAAAGTCATTTTTTTACAGTAACAAACATGTCATAATTACCTGCTCTGTGCCATAGTTTTGCACAGAGCGGCCCCCAACCTCCTCTTTTCAGGTCCACTAACAGTGTTCCTGGCTCTTTCTCTTCTCCGTGGGTACCCCACAGGAAGCTGCTTTTTATGGGGTACCACTGCAGGCTCGCTCCCAAGTCTCGCTGCCTGTGTCCAGATACACAGACAGCATGGCACAGCCCCGTCCCATCATCACAGGGTTTAACTGACAGCAGTGAGAGCCAAGGGAAGCCTCTACAGATGGGCACAGTGCGGGATCAAGTGAGAACCACACAAGACTAAAAACAGACTTTTGTCATTTTTATTATTATTGTATTATTAAAGGGAGTGGTCTCTATAAGTGAACATGGAGAGAGATGAAGTGGGTATGTTTAAAGTCTCCTAGTATTGGAGAGTTGGCTCTGATAAAGAGGCACTGCCTCAAAACACTCAGCTAGATTAGAGGCTGGTCTTCGAATGAAGCACTAATGGACAGATGAGTGAATTTGTTGGTCAATCAGATGTTCCTTATGGAAATTATATGTGAAGCATTTCTTTACATACTTTTTTGTGAGTACAATATATTTATTTCAACCATTTATAGATTTTTTTTTATGCCAGTGCAGTGTATTTCATTTACAGACTTTTTATTATCTCTAATGACATTAAACACCCACAATGCTCCCTGTGATCATGTGATCTTCATGGCTTTAGTTCACAAAGGAACTCAGGAACAATGATTGTTATTTATGGCAAGTACTTACATCCAAATAAGAGGTATTTGGTAAGTCTAACAGCTGATTGATATATTGTTTCCGGTGAAATTAAAATTTTAATTATATATGTGTGGGAGGGTATGCGTCTAAAAAAAAATTCATTTATTGCCAAATCACACTTACAATGAAATAAAATATTGTAAACTTTGTAGGCCGCCAGCTTCACGTGAACAAATATCAAACAGGGGTGTATGCTAGTTCTTGCAGATTTTGCTTTCATTAAACAAATTGTGATCACTGCGCCTAAATCCACTAATTTGACAAGCTGTATAAGCCGACATGGTCTGCATGCTCTTCGCTGTCTTCCTGGCTTCATAATCACTACCCCTGACTGAGTCCTGACCCAATTCTACACACAACATTTTAGCTGCATGTCTATCAAAAGCAGATCTTTTGTCTAAATTCTCTTTCCTGAGATGGTGCAGAGTTTGCTTTAATGGATTTCTTGAACAGGTAATTGACTAATCAAATCCATTCCCCTCCTCAAATGATGAACATTAAAGCTGAACTCCAGCCTTATCTTCAGTCTTGCACAGTTGTAGCGGCTCCTCTCCTCCTGTACTGAAAGGCTTACTCTGATTTCACAGCACAATGTACATTAGAAGCTGCAGGATATAAGATACATTGAGCTCGCCTCATTTCCTGACCGCCTCAGCCTGTCTCTAGCCCACCCATTTTATTCATTGGAAGGATTTCAGTTCTTTCAATCATGGAGGCTTAGCATCACACGTGGGTGTTTCCTAGGGCATCCGGCACGCAATGTCCATTCCCCAAGGCTGATATCTGTGTATTAAAGTGGTTGTAAACCATTACATACACCCAGTGACTAGTCTCAGGTGGTAGAGGTGAAACAAATCCTCCTGCATAAGTTGTACCTCTTTACCTGAAGCAGTTTTCCCTATAAATCATTCTACAACACACAAATCAAAAGGAATTTTCTCAGCAGTAGAAAGCAGAGGGCAGGGATCTGACATCACACACACTGTAGCAAAGAGCTCTGTGAATTCTGACAGCTGATTGGAGTGAAGGGAAACAGTCCCTATCCTAACAGGCTGAGGAACCAGCCTCTAACAGGCTCATAGAAAATACAGAGCTGAAGCTGTGAGTCACCTGCTGAGTGCTGGGGGAATGTGGGCATTCTCCAGAGAGACTGAGGTTGCAGCATAATCTGTTAGGAATCAGTCAAATAGCAGAGA